GGGGGGTGGGCACAAGGGGTGAAGGGAGTCATATATATGGTGATGGACAAACAAAAATGCACAACCCAAAATTTCACAATGTTAAAAACCATTAAAACATCAATAAAAAAAATGTAACTATAAAATTAAAAACAACAACAACAACAACAACAAAAAATCTGGTTTTGACCCAAAATGATTAACACTAGACAAACATTTATTTGGATATACTTCTATTTTTCTTTCTTTCTTTCTTTTTTGCTGAGGAAGATTCGCCCTGAGCTAACATCTGCTGCCAATCATCCTCTTTTTGTATGTGAACCCCCACCACAGCATGGCCACTGACAGACAAGTGGTGTAGGTCCGCACCCGGGAACCGAACCCAGGCTGCTGAAGCAGAGTGTGCCAAACTTAACCACTAGGCCACCAGGGCTGGCCCTACTTCTATTTTTCTTATGTTGCAGAATGTATATAAGAGATTAACATTCATATATGCACCCACACATATATGGGATTATGAAATACATATATGTAGAGCAAAAATAAACACAGAAAATGTCAACATAAGAATTGTCAACATAGCTTTCATAAGTATTTCCAATGAACAGATTCTTCCTAATTTAATTTTTGGATTTTTTCCCCCTTCTCTAAGATTAGGCAATGTTTATATAAAAAGAAACTATTGAGTACTGGAACTGAGTTTGAACTGCTTCAGTGTTTGATGGAACAAATGCAGAATAAACGAATGAATGTAAAACACACAAAAAAATGAATTGCTACTGAAACCCAATATTAAAAAGGATAGAAAGCTAGAGTAAATTCAATTAATTATCTACTATTTAGAAAACAACAGATGTATAATCAAAAAGATCATGATCCACCATGAATTTACACTTATTCACATGCAAGAATTTGGAAAAACTCACACACTTTCAAGCTTTGGTTTTTTTCCAAAAAAAAATTGAAAACAAAAACCAAGTATTCAATTCAACAATTATTGAACACAGTTCTAGGTATACACAGATGAATAAACCATGGTCCTTGACTTTCAGGAAGACAGCTTTCCAGGGAAAATTAGCAAGTAAACCAATAATTGCTATATAATATGTTGTTCAATGGTGGAATAAAGGAAATAGGTATATGGCACTAAAGTATTTAAGGGAATAAAGTGATTTACTCCCCATGATATATTCATGCCTATGGAAATTAGTGAAGGTCTGGGCCGGCCCCGTGGCTTAGCGGTTAAGTGCGTGCGCTCCACTACTGGCGGCCCGGGTTCGGATCCCGGGGTCGCACCAACGCACGGCCTCTCTGGCCATGCTGAGGCCACGTCCCACATACAGCGACTAGAAGGATGTGCAGCTAGGACATACAACTATCTACTGGGGCTTCAGGGGAAAAATAAATAAAATAAAAAATTATAAAAAAAAAAAAACAAGCAGTAAATTCTAACAATGGATGACTTAGTGAATTCAATGGATTCTCTAGGGATGCATTTCTAAAAAAAAAAAAAATTAGTGAAGGTCTTATCAATAAATATGTCCAAAGAGGTTATAAAGGATGCTATGAAGAGAAGAAAGGAGGGATGTTCCAGGCAGTGACAGAAGCATAAAACAACATGGTATGTTTGAGGGAGTAGAAACGGCTCAGTATGACTGGATTGTGAAGTACAAGGGAACTAATGGCTGGAGATGAGTCTGAAGAATCAGGCAACAACTAATTATGATAAGCATTGAATACTTCGCTCAGGAGAAAGATTGCTCTGGACTAAAGGATCAATTTGATAAGAACAGAACCAGAGGCAGGGAAACCTATTGTAGGAATATATGAGAGATGATTAAGGCCTAAAATAAACAGTGGGATAGGGTAGATTAGAAGAAATAAGTTTAAGAAGTATTTAGACAGGAGAGCTGACAGAACTCAGTGAGTGGTGTGTGAAGGGAAGACAACCAGATCTAGATAAACTACAGAATGTTAGCTTGTGCAGATGGTGGTGCTACCAACCAAAGTAGAGAACATAGGAGGAAAAACAGATTTGAGGCAGAAGATAAGTTGAGTCCTAGGCATCTGAGTCTGAAAAGCCTTCATCAGAGTGCAAATCCCCAGTGTTAAGTTGGGTATATGAGTCTAGAGCTCAGCAGAGAGGTCTGAGCCTGAGAGAGGTGGGGGAGTCATTAACATACAGGCAATATGTTAAACCAAGAGAATGGATGAGACCACCTGAGAAAACATACAGGGAAAGGAGAAGAGGTCAAAGGTGAATATGCACCCACCTGGAAAACAGTAAATATTTCCGGGAACGGGCAGAGGAAAAAAGCAAAGAACAAATTATAAGGGGTTAAAAAAAAGAAAGAAAATGAAGTCAAGGAAGAGTTTCAAAGAGAAATTATCAATAATGTCAAATGCTACCGAGTGGGTCAAGAAAAGAAAGACAAAGTATCCTTTTGGACCTAGCAATTAATGTCACTGGTGTCATTAACTAGACCAATTTATGTAGTGGGGGCAGAAGCCAGACTGCCATAGGTTAAGGAGTAGGCAGGAGGTAAAGCAGTGTAGACAGGAGAGTGAGATACTCTTTAGAGAAGCTTGCACGAGGGAGAAGGAGAAGCCATTAGCGAGAGGGAGAGGTAGTTAACAGAGATTTTTTAAAGGGATGTTAGTGATGATGATAGTAGCACCTCTCATAGGACTGTTATGAAGATTAAAAGAATTAATAATTATAAACTAGCCATATAAGTGTTAAAGAAAGAATCATTGATTAAAGCAAGGTCCTAAGGAGAAGAGAGGAAATGGGGCCAAGAACACAGGCAGAAAAACTAAGTCCTAAACAGGGAGAACAAACATCCTACCCATTAAGTCTTGCGAGCCTGAGTGTGACTATTGCTAATTTTAAAGGTAGAGATAGGAAGTTGAGACAAGGTGATATCCTGATAAGGATATTACAAGTTGGGGAAAGAGCTTGAAGAGAACAGTAAAATTTGGAACATATGCTGAGAAAAACAAAACTCAAGCAAAAAAAAAAAAAAACAAATGATAGGCAGCAGAGTGGACTCAGCTAAGATTGATAACCACAACAAATCTGCGGCTTCAATCAGAATGGTCAAGCTCTTTTCTCCAAATAGCTCGGCCACTGCACAAAGATGGTAAAGACTGGTCAGTTTATGTTCATAAAGTACTTGGAAAAAATGTGATGAAAGTGTGATTAGAAGGTGACAAATACCAATAATATTCAACTTGTGCATATTTGATATTTTCTACATCTTTCCATAACGTAAGTTTTTTGGTTGACATTATGATGATTCCTTTTCTTTTTTTTTTTTTTTTTTTTTGGTGAGGAGGACTAGCCCTGAGCTAAGATCCGATGCCAATCCTCCCCTTTTTTCTTGAGGAAGACTGGCCCTGAGCTAACATCCATGCCCATCTTCCTCTACTTTATATGGGACGCTGCCACAGCATGGCTTGACAAGCAGTGCGTCGGTGCGTGCCCGGGATCTGAACCTGTGAACCCCAGGCCGCCGAAGCAGAGCGTGCACACTTAACCGCTTGCGCCACCGGGCCGGCCTCGATGATTCCTTTTCTTTTAACTCCATTTTTATCCAAATACTCTTCAAAGTACTTTACAAACTTAAGAGTTATGCAAACATGTAAGTCATATCTACATTTGTATGTGCAGATCACGTCACTTCAAAAAAATGCAGTCGTGCAGAAAATGAAAAACGTGTTACCCAATTTAAACTTCAGTAAGCAAATTGAGAAAGAAAGCTTGTAATTAAGCAAATCAGAATTTAGCCAAGACACCAACAGAAAGTATGAAACAACAAAGCTTGTATGGTTATGTTCTAACTCTGTATCTATTAATTCTCCTGCTTCTTCAGAAAACTGTTTTATGAAATATTAGTGCTTGTAGAAAAAACACAAAAAATATGGTAACACAGAAGAGTAACTTTCAAAGAGACTTATGTTCAAAATGACAAAATCCTTAAGAGTAAAAAACTTATTAAAAAGACCATTATAAAGCATAGCACACTTCAATAAAACACCTCCTGAGATGGAAACAGTAATAGGGTTATAAAATTCTATTTGGGGAAGTAGATTAATCTAAAATAAAAACAAAACAAAACGAAAAACTACTATTCAGTTCAATCCATAATGAAGGGAATGGACTAGAGTGCTCTAAAGCCATCAAAGCGATTCCAGCTATTAACTCTAATAACAAATTGATGAAAAAGGTAAAAGCTGCATAAAAACTCAGTATCAGTAATACCAAATATAACCCAGTTCTATTCACAATCACAGCATACTCATCTCTATCCTTACTATGCAAGTAAATAAATATCCTACCTGCTTGTTATAATCTCTCAGTCCACTTTCCATCATCGCTAATTTTTCTTGTAACTGGTGGACTTCCTGTTGAAGTTCTTGAATTCTGAAACACATTCATAACTAATACCAATATACTTTTGTTCAGAAATACAAAATAGCAAGAAATAAAACTAGATATATTCTTTTGTAAATTCTCTACTTTCTGTTTCTCAATGAGATATGAGGTGCTATGCTAAAGGGTTCCAAAGCCACCAGCATAAATAGAGTACATTACCTTGTAGAGTTAATTTTGTAAGAACAGACAAAAAAAGAGTGGTAAATAATTTGAAACTAATTTGAAAATAATTAGACACATTATACAATAAAACACCTACTATTGCATTTTGATCCTTAGGACCACTCTTCTAGGTATTGCTGCCAATTCCTAGGTTCAAGAAACTGAAAGTCTAGTCCAAAATTCACAACATTATCAAGTAAAATAAGGGACTAAAATGTTTTCTGACCCTAAATGACCACTTATTTTCTACTAAACTACCCTGAAATCTTGGAGAAAAGAAAAATATTGAGAAATACTACAATTTCCCAAATAACTAAAGCAAAAACCCCACTCCTTTCCAGAACTTGTTAATTCTAACAGAATCAAGATTGGTCCAAATTACCTGAATTCTACAATTGCCCAAATGTGTCTGTACTACATCTAACCTTGCCAAGCATTAACATAAATACAACACAACCACTTTCATACTGGAAAGATAAGCCTGAAGCCAGGTCTGCTTTTAAGAGAGATTTTCCATGGGGCAGAGTAAGTGAGGATGGACACAGCTTGTCCCTGCCATTACTGAAACCAACATTTTCCACTAATCTAGGTTTAGGAGAAGAGCATGTACGCAGCTGCACTCACATATATGCATGAATCACTCTGAATACAAACAAAAGGTGGGTGTGCAAATCAAAACAAGATAATCAAGAGACTATGATGGATTGATAGAAAAGAAAAATGTTAAGAAGAAATAAAGATAAAGACAGAAAATGATATATATACAGCCCAAAAAACTCAAATAATACTAACACATTGTCTGAGAAATCCTAGATTATAACTGTAAGAGAAGAACAAAATACAAAATACGTTATGGTTAAGGTCAGATAGCTGTATAAATACAGGTACGTAATACTGTGTTAGAATAACTGAGCTAAGACATCCTAATCAGTACCTCAACCAAATTTATTTTTAGATTGTAACACTGAGATTAATAAAGTGGAACACTCCCCCATATTCTCCGTATAATCTACAAAATAAAAAGTGATCTGTACTAACCATTTCCACTAGCATATTCCATATTTTAAAGTGTTTCTCCAGCTATGACCATAGAGGCTGTCATTAGTGGCTCTCTTGCTCCTTTGAAACCCTTATAATTTTCTTAATGCCATTTTGTGTATTCCTCTTGTCTCATCTTCCCTACTGGATTTTAAGCTTCTCAAAAGCAGCAATACCATCTTATTCACCTTTACATCCTCAGAACACTTGCATAGTGCCTTTCCCAGAGAGCTTAATGAAGTTTTAATTAAAATAGAATTTATAGCTGATTCCAATTTAAGGAAATACAAATAACAGAGCTAGAGAATCATGAAACAAGAATTTCAAAGCCAGTTACAAATCTATTCTTGTCCATTAGCATTGACATAAATCTGAAGTAATAGAGAGTCCCATAAAAAATAACTTTACTTGGGTGATGAAACTAAATGTCAGAGCAATTCTACTGAAATAGGTTCTAGATGGCAGTAAATTGTTGATGAATACAGACAGAAACATCAAACATAGATGTTTCAAACATCAAAGATCTGTTTGAAATCAAAGTTTCAAAACAAGTAAAAACATTCTATATTCAGAATACACTCAGAAAGTATTTACTGAGTGCTTGTGCAAAGTTCTAGGCACTGGAGATACAATAGTTAAGAAGACAAAAGCCCCACTATCAAGAAGCTTACAGTTAATCAAGTGACCAATTAACTAAAGCCAACAAAAAATTACTTAATGCACCTATTATCAGCCACTTGCAGGAGGTCTGCAATGTAAGGGTCATCTGGCTGAGGAACTGGATATGAACTGACTTCAGAGGGAGGGACTGGTTCATCAATCTGCATACGCTGGCGCCTGAAAGCAATACTTCTTTTCTTGCCACCTAAAAAAACAAATGTGTATTTCAAAAAATTAAAAAGAAACAAACCATTGTCTTAGAATTAAATATTCCAGAAGGTTAGCCTTTTTGTTGTAAAGTGTCTCTAGCTCATATTACATATCGATAAAATATTTGCTCCCTCATATATAAATACATACTCTGACCTTTAACTAATAACACATTTCTGAAAACCTCAACAAGACTTGGTTATACAACAAGTTTTACTTTCTGCATCCTTGGCACGTATGCCCAGATTTAATCTGTTCCTCCACTAGATGGGGACCAGACATTGGCAAGGTAAAAGTTGAGTGTGCCTTGTGGCGTCCACTATTATGAGCTCAAGAAATCGTCACCAGCAGAAAACTGTCAAAAGAGGAGCCTAAGGCAGTGAGAACTAAAATACACATGCCTATTAAGCAATGCCAAAAGAGCAGATAACTGAAATTTAAAGTAGCAAAACTAGTATATGATGGAAAGCCATCTGTTATATAAAATCATGCTATAACCTGAACTAGTGGGGAATGTTTTCTTAATTATCCTTAAAACTGGCAGGAGTAATTTCTTTTTATGACTAGATATATCCTGTCTTGGTCCAAACATGGATAATTTACCTTTTCCAGCACCTGCCCAAGATTAGACATGTACTTGAAAAACTCACTGATCCTCACAAAGAACAAACATAACCCACAACTTTGTCTTCATTAGAATCCTAACAAATTTTGTATACGCCTATCTCTCGTTCTGAGGATGAAGCAACTGAGCTAAAAGTATTTAAATGACCTGCTTGTAGTTATACATCTAAACAAGGCAAACCATTTTCTTCTTCCTTTATTTCCTGGTTTTCTTCCCTGATTGCTCCTCAGCTTCTTTCAAAGACCCTCTTCTCTTTTTCCACCAGTCCCTTAAATGCCAACTTCTCTAGAGCCTGTCTTTGGTTCTCTGTTCTCAGTCTACATAATCTCACTAGATATTTCCTACGACACTTGTAGCTTCAATTTCCATGATACTCCAACGACTCCCAAATTTGAATCTCCAACTTCGACCACACTTCTGAGAACAGATCTACATATCCCACTGCATCCCAGAAATCTCAATGTGAATGTCCTGTAGGCACAACATACTTAGCACTCCTGCTCCACTTCCCACATTCTCTATCCTAAGACAATAGTACCATCACTGACTCATTCATTCACTTGAAACAGAAATCTGGGAATTCCTCTACCTCCCAATTCTACCACATTCAGTCACTAAATTCTATAGATTGTACCTCCTGAATCTCTCTTGAATCTGTCGCATTCTTTTCTCAGAAAACTTGATTATCCTCTTTTTTCTTTAATCTTCCAGTTACTTCCGAGATCTCCCATTTTTCCCCACGTTTTCTGCCTCTGGCTCACAGTCCCCCTCTCCATCTCATTTCCTGCCATCTTGAGTGCCACTGATTCTTCCCCCACCCCGGCCTCTCAGTTCCTAAACTGACAACTCTCCTGAGTCTCCTCTCCCCTCAGCTTCAAGCACACAACAACATGATTGTGCTTGGACTTGGTCACCACTTAGAACTGTGCCAACTTCTAGATCTTCAACTCTCTTCTGATTATAATCTTCATTCCGACCAAATTACTATTGGTCCTCCCTCAGTCTCTAAGCTCATAATCCAGCACTTTCCTACACCTCACTTACTTCTATAACCTTGATCCCACGGTTCAGACATCTCAATGATCTTATCACTAGTACTGGAGATTCTTCTACCAACCTTACACCTGGACAACCATCAACCCTGGATATGCCCCATCATTTCTTTTCTCTTGCTCGAGAACTACTGAGCATAAAGCTAGAAATAGTAAAATAAACTAAGAAAGTATATCATTTCCAAATTCTTTGAGTATGGATTACTTTTATAACTAAAGTAATAATAATAATGATAATAGGAAAAAGAATTTAAAATAACAATTAAGGAAATAAAACTCAGGGCACTGAAGTTAGACTACTTGCATCTAAGAAGCTATTATTATATAAGTTTCTAAGCACAAGTCAAAAAACGCTACCTGGATATTCAGAAATAAATCAAAAGTGTTTGTGAATATCCAAATATATCTTTTCAAGCACTAAAACGTAAGCATGAAAATCCAAAGTCCTATTTCAGTGAACAGTTTAAATATCTTTAAAAGATTAGATGCGTATAATTCGTTTTGAGAAGGAACAGATTTACCTGGAGTTTGTACTACAGCATGCAAATTCTTTTCTTGAAGTTGTTGAATTTTTTCATTCTTAGCTTTGCTCTCTTTCTCCAAAAGTTTGAGTTTATGAACATATTGGTTATTTAGAAATTTGAGATCAGCTGTTTCACGTGTACACTTCTTCAATGCAGTTTTCAATTCTTAAAATGAAAAAGATTCAAAGACTATTTTACAGATCAAGAAATCTATGAAGTTCTTCTATTTCACAAAATACAAAAAGTCACATCAATCTGAAAGGTTTCACTTGATTCTTATGCATGCTTTGTTCAGAAGGCGATTACTTTTCTACCACTAGTAGCAAAACTGCAAATAAGTCATTAAGCACAAAAGGGAATTGTATTTTTCTTCTACTGTATGAGCCTAATATAACCACGGCTTTTGATCCAGTAAACTGGGTATGAAGCTAAGGAACTATGAATTCACGCCAGGTTTTAGACAGGGCTCTCTACTGAACATAAGAAGAATTTATAATAAGATAGCCATAAAATTACCCTTTGCACAGTACCTTTGAAATCATTCTATTCTACCTTCCAGCTCAAAGACATAGTATTAAAGAATCAGAATGATACATAGTTTTCACCTCGCTTTATTCCTCTTATTTTCAGTAAGGGAAAAACAAAAGTTGTTTCAAGAACATTTCTTCAGTTCCAGCATTTAATCTTTTCTACAGCAATTGTAAATCTAAAAATATAATCCACATATAGTGAAGACAAATATAGCTATGGAACGCAAATTTATTTTCCTTCTTGGGAACTCTTCAACACACACTACCGTATTTCAAGAGCTGTTAGCAGGAAGACTATCACATTTACTAATCAATAGTTTTAAAATTAGACTAGCCTTTCCTACACATAAAACAAAAAGGGCAAATATACTGCATTTTAAAAATCATAAAACTTTACCTTTAATGTGTTGGTCTGATTGTTCTTTCAGTTTCATTAATTCCAGGTACAATTCATTATTTTCCCTGATCAACCTCGCATTTTCGAGTTTATAAGGTTCCAAAATAAAATCAAAATTGGCACTTTCTTTTTCAGCTTTCACAGCAGATAATTTTGATTTCCGAAGACTTTCTGTTGTATGAACTAGGTCACTAAAATTAAAGAACAGAAAATGTAAATTCAAGGAAATATTCCATTAACTTTCTAACAGCTAAAAATATATTTCTAAAAAGGCTTGAAATATGTTAATGCTAAGTGAACTCAAATCTAAAAACAAGCAAAAACACTAGGAATCTTTCAAGGTACTAGGAAATGTTTAAAAATTTCTCAAAACAAGATTAAAAATTATGAAATACACATAGATTCATCTTTGAATCTCCCCTCTCACTCATTCCCCATGTCCAATTAGTTACCTGATCCTGTTGAATCTGTGAAACTTATTTGGTCATTCAGCAAATATTTACTGAGTGCTTGCTATATGCTAACTGCCAGGGACACAATAAAGAAGAATCAATTCCTCACCTCTAAGAACATACACCAGTAGAATATTTACTCCATCAATATTTACTGAGCAAGGAAGACAGTAAAGAACCCACCGTCATGGAGCTTATATTCTAGTGACAGTTTGTCAAAATGTTACAAGACCATCTGATAAACTCAACAAATATTTCAGTGCCAACTATGTGTTCAGCCTGCCCCAGGTATAGCAGTGATAAAGCCAGTCTCTAGTCTCATGGAGTTTGCATTCTAAAGGAAAGACAAAAACAAGTTTCCAGTAATGATAAGTAGTTAAGGAAGCAGGTAACAGATGTGACGGAGTCCTGCAGGCCATACAGCTAACCACACACAAGCGCAAGGGAGGAGAGAGAGGCGAGAGGGACTTTACAGGCAGATAGAACAGCCTACGGAGAGACCAAGGGTGAGAGTGTACATATGTTTATGGAGCTTCAAGTGGTTCAATACATGGGAGATGAAGCTGCACGGACGAGATTATGAAGGGTTTTGGAGGCCACGTTAAGACCACAAAATATCTTTTATCTATTGTCTCCTTTCCATCATCATCACTTGTAGTCCTACTGCAAAAGCTTCCTAAGCAATTTCCCTGCTGCCGTCTCAAACCACAGGAATAGAGCTCATGTGAAAAGAACAAAAATTACAAAGAATCTTTCAGTTAAGGTAACGTAACACCTAAAGAAATGACCAACCACATATTAAAGAATCATTATTAATACAAGAGTAATTTTTTTTTTTTTTTGTGAGGAGATCAGCCCTGTGCTAACATCCGCCAATCCTCCTCTCTTTTTGCTGAGGAAGACTGGCCCTGGGCTAACATCCATGCCCATCTTCCTCCACTTTATATGGGATGCTGCCACAGCATGGCTTGCCAAGCGGTGTGTCGGTGCACACCCGGGATCCGAACTGGCGAACCCTGGGCCACCGCAGCAGAGCGCACACACTTAACCGCTTGCGCCACTGGGCCGGCCCCCAAGAGTAATTATTTTTAAAGACCAGTGAGTGAGGCAGACATAGAACTCCCAACTATATCAGAAAACCACATAAAAAGCTGTAATTCTATTCACAGGGAAAACCCTCAGGAATGTTTACTCTGAACAGTACAGTGTGAATGGTGACCCCCGGAGTTTTGCAATGTGGAGGCCCTGAACTGATGACAGGGAAGCAGGATCTGAAAAGAATAGAGGAGCTTTGGAGGATTTTAGGACTTTTCAAAAATCTACCCATTTCTTTACTGAAGCATGAAGTTCACCAGAAACTAGATAAACGGAATTAAGGATCATACAGGTTTCAAACTGTATTTTCATTTTTACCTGAAAAGTTTTTCTACCAAAGGTAAACACTCCACTGTCAGAGTCTGGCGGTATCCCAACTGATCCAACCTTTTCCTAATATTAATATACTTTCTTTCTGCAGCTGTGGCCATCTTGTCTCCCAAAACTAGTTTTATCCACTTCCAAAACTTAAAGTCCTAAAAGAAAAGAGAGAAACGTCATTCTATTATTGTAGCTATTATTATCGTTTCATGACAAGAAGAAAAGATTCTTTTAATATGAAGCAAATATCTTTTGTTTCTTTTTAGGCAGGCAGCTTTCTGGAATATTTAGACAGATTTAAATCCACTGCTTATAATATTCATGCTGCTTCATTAAAATAAGTATCTCTTCATAAACCTGTGTGTAAACAGTAAACCTTCTACAATTTTATTTATTTATTTTATTCCCCCAAAGCCCCAGTAGACAGTTGTATGTCATAGCTGCACATCCTTCTAGTTGCTGTATGTGGGATCCGGCCTCAGCATGGCTGGACAAGCGGTGCATCGGTGCGCGCCCAGGATCCGAACCTGGGCCGCCAGCAGCAGAGCGTGCGCACTCAACCGGGGCCGGCCCATCAGTAAACCTTCTAGAAGAAAACAAAGAAGGATACTTTCCCGAGCCTGAGATAGGCATAGAATTCTTAGAGACGCCTCTTTTTTTTTTTTTTTAAAGATTTTATTTATTCAGTTTTTTCCCCCCAAAGCCCCAGTAGACAGTTGTATGTCATAGGTTCACATTCTTCTAGTTGCTGTACGTGGGACCCGGCCTCGTGTTGGAGGGAGAAGTGGTGCCTCAGGGCGCTCCCGGGATCCGAACCCGGGTCGCCAGCATCAGAGCGCACGCACTTAACCGCCAAGCCACAGAGCCGGCCCGAGACGTCTCTTTTAAAACCACTAAATACAAAAGAAAAACTTGATAAACTGGACTTCATCAAATTAAAAATGTCTTCTAATCAAACTATTCCATTAAGAAAACAAAACGGCAAACAAAAGAGTGGGAGAATAATATCTGACAAAGGATTTGGAATAATATAAAGAACTCTTACAATTCATTAATAATAAAGACAAACACTCCAATAAGAAAATGGGCTAAAGACTTGAGCAGGCACGTTGCAAAAGATATCTGAATGGGAATAATCGTATGAAAAGGTGCTTTACACCATTCGTCATCAGGGAACTACAAATTCAAACCACAATGAGGTGCAAATTAACCCATACTAGAATAGATAAAATTAAAAATATGATACCAAATGTTGTCAAGGATTTGGAGCAGCTGGAATTTTCACATTGCTGACAGAAGAGTAAAATCACTGTGGAAAAAGTTCAACACTTTCTTATGAAGTTAAACACCCTTCTACCCTATAACTCTGTAATTCTATTCCTAGGTATTTACTCAGGGAAATGAAAATGAACATCCAAAGAGAGTCTACAAGAATATTCATAGCAGCTTTATTCATAATAGCCCCAAACTGGCAACAACCGATATATCCACCAACAGCAGAAGGATAAATAACCTATGATATTTTTAAACAATGTACTACTACTCAGGAATAAAAGAGATGGAACTACTGATACATGTCAACCACATGGATGAATCTGAAAAACACTATTTGAGCAATAGAAGCCAGACATATACTGTAGACTCCATTTACATAAAGTTCAAGAACAGGCATAATTAAACTATGTGGACAGAAATTAGAACAGCAGTCACCTGGGGTGGTGAGGGTGGGTGGAGATTGACTGGAAGGGCTAAGAGGAAACTTTCTGGAGTGATGAAAATATGCTGATTGGGATAGTGTTATACAAGTGTATACATTTATCAAAGCTTTTCAAATAGTACACTTAAGATCTGCGAATTTCATCATGTAAATTTTACTCCGATTAAAAAAAGACAAACACACACATAAGTATCTCTGTGCATGTATCAATTCTTGTCTTTCTAAATATTTATGAATATATTCTCTATCAATCTGCCCTAAAATGGAGTTATCCAAAGATGACTTCTTTAGTAACTTGGCTCTTTTCTAATCTTTGCCAAGTAAATATAGTTTCAGTACGTATAGTTCCAAACCAAATAAAAACTTTGTTTTACATCTCTATTGTTCTTCACAATTTATACAATGTGAATGCATGTGACTACATGCAAAACCTGATCCTCACAACTATCCTGTGAGGGAGATGGGGCCAACAATACCCTCCTTGGTTATCCTCCCTATCCAAAGACGAAGAAAGGCTGTCTCAAGAGAGAGCAACTCTTCCCAAACCACAGGGCCACAAAGTTGGTGGGCAGCCACTGGGAGCCAGGCCTCCTGAGTTCTGGTCCAGCACTCTGGTTTCTGTATCACGCAGCCTCAACTTACCAAATCACTTCTAAATTGGTACCTCTCCTTGGTTACTCCTTTCTACACATTCTTGCTAACCTTTTCTTTGAGTGGCTTCCCCAGGGACTTTCTGGGTTCCTTCCACAAGAGGGACCTGACTGATGCAGGGTGTTTTAGAGAAACTCCCAGAGACATGAGAAATACACCAAACCAAGAACTAGCAAGGCCTGCCACACTCAGCCATTTCTCCTCTTTGGTACCAACTGCGGTTACCCAGAAATAATACGTCCTCACATCCTGCTGGGGGGGGGGGGGCGGAGAGGGAGACAACAAACCAAAAAATCATGACCACAGCCTTGTCACACAGGACAGATTAAAAAGATTAAATCCTCCCAGGAAGGACAAAAAACATGTATTAGGCTTTCCCCACCCATGAGCTGCTGTCTTAGCCCCACCTCCATCAACCAAATACTGTGCTATACCGTAAATTTCTAGCAAAACAACGTAAAAGGTTAGGTTTGGAGGCCCCCCACGCATACATGTCTAGAACTATCCGCCTACTTCACCGGGGGGTTGACGCGCGAAAGCCAACACATTATTTTTACAAAAATATCCTGTGTGTATGTACACACAGCGGCTTCAAAACAAAACTTGAAGGTGGTCCCGGAGTCCTTCCTTACTGAACTTAAAACACCCGAGACTGGCAGGTAGCGGGGATGTTTTCAGAGGCGCCGGGCACAGGTTAATGGATGGCTCTCGTCCTGCGCGTTTGGCATTTTTGTTTACAAAGAGCAGGGATGATTCTTACAGGAAGAGGGCATTTTAACTTTTAAATCAGCCCATCAGTCCTCACTGGATCAGGCCGCTCGGCACGGACCGCACAGCCGCCCCGTGGGGCTCGAGCAGCCCCAGGCCGACCCCCGGCCGGCAGCTCTACGGTCGGCTGCTCGAGGGAAGCGGCTGTCGGCAGCGGGCG